AGTCACCTGGACCATCATTTCTAGTGGGAAGTCCATCTCCACCTGTGGCTGTTAAGGAGTATGAGAAGAAGCCTAACCTCACAGCCTTCCTCCTAAGCTGGTGGTGGAGCAGTTGACCGTGATGGATGCGGTGAGCAGCTGGGCTGTCAGGACGGGGTGGGGCAGGTCTTCCCTCTGCCATCATTGCCCTAGACCTGATCCGCACTCCTATGACCAAATCCCGGCTCCACCCCTTACCAACCGTACGGCCTGGGCAACTTTCTGAACCACCAAGGCTTTGCTGTCCACCTGCAGAGCGTAGAGGTGGACACTAACAGGACCTTTTGCACAGAGTGGCTGTGCCAACTCCATGAGGTAAAAGAGATGGAAAGCTGGGTGGGGCCTGGCCCATCAGTGGGGGAGGGGAACTCACTGTGTGCAGCCAGGTCCCTGGTGGCCCAACCGGCTGCTCAGGAGGCTCAACAGCCTTAGGACTTATTAGACACCTGATGTGTACTTCCCTACAAGGGAGACAGACAAGGCCCGTGGTTGTAGCTGCCGCAGGGGAATGTGCATCAGAATGGGGAGTGGGACCAGAGTGGGGGATCCGGGTGGTGGAAGATGCCCCCTGGGATGAGCCGAGTTGACCCACCGTCTGGAGCTTGGCGTTAGCCAGGACAGGCTGGGTGCAAATGCCCCCTCCCTTCCCTGCCTGTATTGGGTTCTGGGTCATCCTGTGCTGGGTGCCTGCAGTGGACAAAGAAAACCCAGGGACTCTCAGAAGGCTCAGGCCACATCCTGAGCTTCCTGAGCTCCAGCTCTAAACTGTGACCCCTGTGTGGGACCTTTGGGGCTGTGGACACAGAGCTGGCATGTGGCAGGGCTGGGTGACACTCCCCTTGTTCCCCAGGAGCTCTTCCGGAAGGTGCTGCCCTCTCAGTGCCTGGGCTCCACCTGGGGCAAGAGGAACAAGCACGGCAATGAGCACCTGGCACCCACCGTCCAGGCCACCGTCGACCACTTCAGAAGGGTGGTCAGCCTCGTCG